TGTAGCCGCCAGCGCCAACGACACCAGCGCTCAGCTTCGCCGGAGCCCCAGTGCGCAGCCTAGCAACCGTGGGGCCCGAGCAACACACGGTGGAGAGGGCCCCCGGGACCGCTGTGGGGACATCCGAGGCCTCAAGGGATCCTGCCTGGAGCCGGGAGAACCCCGGCAAGGCCGACACCCGTGTGGTGTGGCAGAGCCCCAGGGGGCTTTGGGCGGGGCGCACAGCGCCGGCTTCGTGTGTTGTAATTGTGCCCCCCCCCGCCCCCGCCCCCCACAACGCGCTGTCCCTGGGTCCCAACCAAGGCTTTGGCCCAGCCTCTGGGCAGGGTGACAGGGCTTGGAGCAAGAGTTGCAGAAGCCCAGGTGCTGAGACCAGAGTCAGGATCCGAGCTCACAACCTCTAAATCACAGTCAGGGGGAAGCAGGTGTGGTCATGGACCCAGCAGCCCTCCTCACTGGCTAGAGCCACCTCCTTCCATAGCATAGTCCAGGCCACTATTGTCTCCCTACTCTGCCCCCCACAGCCCACACACAGCTGCAGCAATCCATCCTTGTCATGGACACTTCCAGTCAAACTCCAGGAGGCGCTGGAGGTCCCAGCCCATCTCACACTGTTTATGTTCAGCCACACTTTTTTTTTTTTTTTAATATATTTTATTGATTTTTTACAGAGAGGAAGGGAGAGCTAGAAACATCGATGAGAGAGAAACATCAATCAGCTGCCTCCTGCACACTCCCTACTGGGGATGCGCCTGCAACCAAGGTACATGCCCTTGACTGGAATCAAACCTGGGAACTTTCAGTCCACAGGAACGACGTTCTATCCACTGAGCCAAACCGGTCAGGGCTCAGCCACACTTTTTAAACCTCCTCTAACCCAATAACCTTCACCCCTCTGGGCCTTTGCTTAGGCCAGTTCTCCTGGCAGGAATGTCCTCCCCACCCCCCACGTACCTGACCAATCTCATTCATCTCACTTCTGCCTGGCAGCCTTCCTTGACCTTCACACCAACCAGGTAGTTCAGGCCCCTCCCCACAGCATCTCTCACAGTCAGTTTAACTGGCTTTCTGTTCTCGGTCCACCTGGAGCCACAGAAGGGTCCCTGAGCACGGGTCTGGATCACGTGGTACTCAGTGATGCTAATCATGCTGAATGTTGGATGGAGGAGTAGCTGGGTGAAGGAGCCTAGGGCTGAGGGTCCTCTATGGGGTGGACTTCCTCCCCCTTCCCTCACCCACCCAGGGCAGCCAGTGTACCTCCTCTACCTGGCACTTGAGGCCCTTATGGCCATCCCTGCTGCCTTTCCTGTCTCTGCCATCTTCTATGGGAGCCCTTCACCACTGCACCCTGAACCACTTTCTCACCCCGGTGCCTGGTGTCTTCACACGTGCAATGCTGCCTATTGCAGGGCCATGGACAGTGCGCTGTGGGCCCCCCTGGTGGGCAGTATCCCCACCCAGTATGTTGTTCTCACTGCACCCTAGGGGCTAGTTAGGACTTTGCGTGCCATGGGGCCTCCCCAGCAAATTGTGGAGAGGGAGGGCCTGGCATAGATCCAGCTGGACTGGGATCTCAGGGCCTACAGGGGCCTAGCCTCTATGCAGCTCCGTGTGTATGTGTGTGTGTGCGGTGGGGGGGGTAGGGGGGGATGTGCTGTGTGGATCCTGTTCATTGGCAGACCTGCCTGGCCCCAACCACTGTAAGAGGCCTGGGTCCCCTCTGTTTATTAGTTCATTCATTCACTCATTTGTTCATTGCAGCCTGTCTCTCTGGAAGGTGCAGAGGAGGTGAGAACTTGGCCCTCTGTCAACCCCTCAGGTGGCCCCATTCCTCCTGAGTCACCTGGCCTGCTGGGCCCTCCAGCATCTGGCTCAGCTGATCCCTTGAGTCTCATTAACCATCCCCTGCCCTCTGCCCCAGTAATTAAAATACTGCTGACAAAAGTCCTGGATTCCCTCCTGAGCCTGTGAGATCCAGGCTGTGCGACCTGTAGGCTCTGCCCTCTCTGAGCTCAAATTAAGTTCTGTTCTGTGAAATGAAGGAGACCCCTAAGGTCCCCAGGAGGGACCGACAAGGAGGCCAGGAGTGTGGGGAGAGGGCTCGGTAGAGACTCCGGATTTGCTGACAGCAGATGTGGCTATGAGAGCCAGGAGAGGCAAGGGTGGACATAGATGGGACCTTGGAGGGGACCCCTTTAATGTTACATCATCAATAAAGCTTTCCACGAAACCCCATCCTCCATGGGAGCCTCAGGAAACTTATTTCCCCGAGGAACCCAAAGAACTCCATTTCCTCCATTACACACCTGTTAGGTTGTGTTAGGCTGGCTGAGCCTTTGGAGGGTGAGCGAATGAGGCCGGCGTGGGTAGGGCCTGGACCCTGGGCATTGGACTCTTAGGAAGGGAAGGCACCCTAGCTGGTTTTGCTCAGTGGATAGAGCCTCTGACTGTGGACTGAAGAGTCCCGGGTTCGATTCTGGTCAAGGGCACATGACGGGGTTGTGGGCTTGATCCCCAGTAGTGCGTGTGCAGGAGGCAGCTGATCAATGATTCTCTCATTACTGATGTTTCTATAACTCTCTCCCTCTCCTTTCCTCTCTGAAATCAATAATATA